AATTAAGGAGTAAAGTTATATAAAAAACTAATTTTAAAAAACAATAACAAAAAAAACTTTTTAATTGGATGAAATTACAAACTTTATGACCATATACATTAGATTAAAATAAAATTAAAATAATTAATTAAAAAAAACTCAACTCACATTAATTTTTAAAATTAATGATTCTTTTCATAAAGAGAAGCTAATCAACTTTTCTACTTATATATATATATATATATATATATAGACACACACACACACGAAATCAAGAGTTGTTTTCTTCCCTTGGGGCCAAAGCCAACTTCTAACAACAATCCTTTTACTTTTGAGACAGTTCAACAATCTTTTTTACATGAGATACAGTAAACAATCTTTTATTACAAGATTAAGAATCTCATTAAGAATGAGATGCCGTATAAATTATATTTTTTTAAAATTTAAAATATTTGTTATTTAAAATAATTTTTTATATTTTTAAACCATTTTAATATGTTGATATTAAAAATAATTTTTTTTAAATAAAATAAAATTTATTTTAATATATTTCTAAATAAAAAATATTTTAAACTGCACCTCTACCATAATTCTAAACATATCCTAAAATAATTATGATGAATGAGAATAAGTATTTCTCTTGATGTTTATTTAGTATTAATAAATCAATATTTTTATTCACCAGTATAAAAACATAACACTAACTTATGGATATTTTAAATAATATTTTTTCCATTTTTGCATAATGAACTTTCCCTCGACGGCAATCTATCTACTTGTTTGATAATAGTATGAACTCCATAAAGTCTCCACGAATCTTAAAGCATTTTATTTTGTTTATCATCCCGTTTCATGGGTTTAGGGCAAACTTCTCTTTCTAATTTTATCCTAGTGGGCTTAGTAAATTTAGTTTCAATAATACTCCACAACTCTATAAATAGATTCCAAATTGAAGAAAGGTTTCCAAGAAGGTCATTTACCTTCTATTATTATTATTATAAATATTAAATTTTATTATCACGCTAATATATAATCAAAATATCAACCTAATAATACATTTATCTTAAAAGATAAATTATTTGGGAATATACAGGACAAAAAAAATAAAAAAATATTGGATTCGGGTTTTTAAATCACAACACAAGAGAGGTATGTACGCGACTCATTTGCTTGTAAAAAAAAAATACTACTTATAAACGTTCTCATTGGCTTGGATTTTATAGGGCACCCATTTCCATCACTAATTTGAATGGTTATGGAAGATTTTTTTTTTTTAACTCATGAGATGGGAGAAGGTTTTTATCTTTACAAATTATGCATATATATAATTGAAACATAAAAGGAAATAAATTTAGTTAAGCAGGCAAAAAGTATCTGTTAGCCCTTGATTTAATTCAATGGGCTAAAATTAAACTAACATGATATATCATGTTAATACTATCTTGAATGAAGCTCCCTCCATGTAAACATTTATTAACAATTAATTATATTAAATAAAAAAGAATATTAAAGGGACATAAAATATAAAATATTAGTTTTATATTGAAGAATGCATAATGATATTCTAAACTCAAGGATAAATTTTAAATATAAAAGATAAAACAAAACACATGCAAATGGTAACGCATACACATGGTGGGGTCTTAACAACTCCACACCACAATTCAAAAAGAAGGGAAAAGATGATGGAACACAGAGATAGTGATGCAACAAAACCTCAATAAATAGAGATAACGATGGAACAAGGAGGAAAAGAAAAGCATTATGGAACACAAAAAACAAGGAGAGATAGCGATTGAGGGGAAGAAGAAACCAACACTAGGGTCTCAAGAAAGACGAGCTCGAATGATCAGAGAGTAAACGAGGCATAACCCAGCTCTAGGATAGTGCAAATGATGAAAACCACTAGACTGCTGCGCACCATTCTTAGCAAGGCAATCAGCGCAAGCATTCCCCTCTCTCAAAGTATGTGACAGCCACCTCTGCTGCATAAGAGACCGAATATTCATGATAATTGCATACCATGGATGACAACTGCTTGAACCATTAGCAGCATGTAAAGCTTACTTAGATTCAGTTTAAAAAATAACAATTTTGGACCCAAGAATTCATGCTGGCACAAACCATGGAATGTAGCTTGGAGTTGTCCAGCAGCCAAATTGGTTGTGTAACCCAGAAAGCCAAGGCAACCATGCTATCCATATCCCATTTTCACTACGAAAATAATTAATAAACGAGAAGCATGAAATCATTCTGGAGAACGGAAATGTTGGGTTTGATCCTTTTCCTTTACCCATCGTAGAGACACTTACAGTAAGTTGGTATTAGTGATCGAGCACTGAAAAAGTTGTTTTACATGAGAGAAACATTGAGTATAACATATTTTTTAAGCTTCAGGGGTGGCCATGGCCCCCTCTGTCTCCCTAGCCTCTGCAAGGGTTATATCTTCTCTATGACAACACTTTTCTTTATATCTATATTCTCAACCACAAGTAACGTAATTTGAGGCTGTGGATTTCCTCGAATTAATCCTACTCTTTTCTCTAGTTGTAATTGATATCAACCACAAGTAACGTAATATGAAGTTTAAAGCAAAATATAATCTACCATGAGTATTATATGATTAAATTCGACACCCACTCGATTCCAATAGATAATAATGACAGTCGTAGAAAGGGAATTAACAAGCTCCCTAAAAATAGGTACATATCATGGGCATGGAATAACTGCTAGTATATGAAAGAAACTACTTGCAGTCGCGTTTGTACGGATCCAGGCAACTCGGTTTACCATCAGGAACCATACCCAAGTTGTATCGATTACCTTGGCCGCCATCAAACACTGGTTTGGAAGGATCGGAAGCACCATCTACAACAGGGAGAGAGCCAGTATTAAGAATCCTGTTAATTTCAGAATCCATCATGAACTCCAAATCTATGTTGGAATCAGCTATGGAGTACAAGGGGACGTCACCGTCCATTTCCGGTAGTGAAATACTAGCACCGCAACTTTCTGTGTTGAGCATTATCATCATCATCAACAACGACAATGTTAGAGCAGACAAGGAAAGACTCTTCATCGTATCTCTCTAATTTTTAGCTAGCTCTTCTTAATGCTGTCTATCTAATCAAATATAAAAGCAAGCAGCTAAGGGAGGTGGGGAATGTGGCAATGATTGACTGGTTAGCTTATGTTTTCCTAAACATGAAATTAAATGACATCACAAGAGATCAATTTCATGCTAGTGTGGATCAACAGCATTTCTTTAGAGAGTCTCTTGAAATGACAGTTATTTTTTAATTCGTTTAGAGGTATTTTTAATTTATCTATAATTGTTTTAATTTTTTGTATAGATGTATTTTATTTTTAAAACCACTCTGCTTGTTGCCTCATAACGTGCGTGAAACTTTGCCTCTTTTAAAAATTGACCCTTTATATTTTTTTTTTGTTCAATCCAGTATACTTCTTGATTTCCCTTTCACTGCCTGTTTATACTTCATAAGATGTGAAAAAAAGAGAGGGGATAATTAATCAACTCAAAGCAAGGTTTGAATCACTCAAAAGTTTGTGCTGATCATGAGGAAAAAGGTTTCTAATATCTAATTAACAATCTTTTAATTCGTCATGAACTTTATGACAAAAAGAAAAAAGAAAAAAGAATTCGATCCCCATTTCTCCTTTTATTTTAGGTCTTGAGACTTTGGTTGCATGGTGACAAATAAAAGAATTTTTAGTATATGGTGTTTAATTATTTCTAGTTAATTAGATAGAGAATATTAATTATGATGAATGAGAATAAGTATTTCTCTTGATGTGTATTTAGCATTAATAGATCAATATTTTCATTCACTAGTAAAAAATCATAACACTGATATATGGATATTTTAAACAATATTTTTTCCATTTTTGCATAATGAACTTTCCCTCAACGGCAATCCCTATTACCAAACTTGTTTGATAATGAAGTTGATTTTTTTCCCATCATGGCATGTTAAATTAGAATCTAAAATCAAGTTCGGTTTTTATGAAAATCACATGACAAATATATGTGTGTGGAAAATCCCTATTATAAACAAGTCTATTTTAAAGACAAAGCGAATTCCTCCCTTATAATATATATTATGTGCTAACTCTTATCAATCTTCATGTAATCCTAACTCTTATCAATCTTCATGTAATCTTTTTTATAAATAAAAGTTAATGCAACCTATATTTATCTAATTTCCTTTTATTTTACTAGTTTAGCAAGACGAGTCATATTATATTAAAGTCTTGTTACGTTATTTATAACAAAAAAATAGAGGTGATTATTTTCGGTTCGGTTTGTTTTTTACTTAAAAAATAACCAAATTGACTTAAAAAATCAAACCGAAACCAGTTCAAACTGACTGGTTTCAGTTAAGTTCGGTTATTTTAGAACAAAAACAAAACCCAACCGATTAATTTTGGTTTGGCTTTGGTTCAGGCTTTATTTCGTTATTTTATGTTAAAAACCAAAAATTATATTGTTTTTTGGAGTTTTTTTTTGTAATTTCTAATGGGTTTGATTTTTATTTGGCTCGGTTTTTTCGGTTTGGCTAGGTTATTAATTTCAGTTCGGTTTGGTTTTTCAGTTTCAAGCTTATGAAACAGAAACCGAACCAAATCAGTTGGGTTTTTTTAACTATTCTAATTGGTTTAATGGTTTTTTTTTCATGATTTATTTTTTTAGTTATTTTTTCTAATTTTTTTAGTTTAATTAGTTTTTAATTTTTTTACTCACCCTTACAAGAAAGATTTATCGAAATATATTTCACAGTATTGGTAAGTTGTCGTAACCATTGATTAGTTGTATCCTACAAAGTTAGGTGTTTTACTTGTTCTAAACAATGTTTTTATTATTAGATATACCTCCATAAACTTTATCACTATTTACTTTTTTTTCAAATATTTAGTTGTCAATCTATTTCTCTTTTTTTGTTCTATTATAATTAGTTTATTTTAGTTTTAATTCTATTATACATTGGATTGTATCTAGATTATTTAGATCATTTTCTAGATCAATATCTTTGAGATGTCTATACATACAGATTCTTTTGATCATGAAATTATCCTAGATTGCTTTTAATATAAAGGAATACCAAATTGCTTCAATTGAGCAACATCTTTAAAAATTATATATTCCTAAAAAAATAAAGAAAAACATATATCAAATAAGAAATGGATGGATTTTTATTCAATCCAATCAAATGGAAAAATCTAAAGACACGGAAATCTCTAAAGTTGATAGAATACAGCCAACGACTTGGAAGTCCTTCATGCCCCACTCGTACTATCAAAGACCTTTCGAAGGTCTTCCATGTATTGTCCCTTTGCCAAATGCTACATTGATACTGCTCAATGAGACTTTTATAATTACTAATACTTGAAAACGATTTTACAAGGAATTCCTAAATTTCCTTTTGTACTCTAATTTAATACGTAAGAAATAAAAAAATAAAAAAAAGAATTAGAACCAGTCAACTATTGCATGACTTAAATTTACACCTCTCAGCATATAATAATTAAAAGGAGCTTCTCCTCTTGATTTCTTCATGTCTCCTCCTATGGCCAAAAACAAAATGAGTAGCGGCAGCAGCAAATATCTCTCTCTCACAAACTTACCTCTGATCACACCTCTGCACCTCTCCTTCCTGTTCCTCCAACTCACCATCCTTGTAACCGGGGATCCACCACCACCTTACGTCCCTCTTGATAGCATAGCGCTTGATTGTGGTTCATCCGCCGATAGTTTTCGAAACGATAGAAGCTGGACTGCAGACATCAACTCAAAAGTGGCCCTTCTAGATCAAGACAGCCCCTCAACAAATCTCACGGCAAATGGAGCCTCCAATAGCTCTGTACCTTATTCTACTGCTCGCGTCTCTCTCTCCCAATTCACCTACACATTTCCTGTCACAACAACAGGACCTAAGTTTGTTCGCCTCCATTTCAATCCAGCTTCCTACACTGGTTTCAACAGGTCTAAAGCATCTTTTTCTGTCACAACCGGTCGCTATACCTTTCTTAGCAACTCCAGTGGCTTCCATTACACTGACCCACGTGGTGAACGAGGAGGTTACGCCAGAGAATTCATCTTAAATGTTGAAGATGAGCAGACAAATCTGAGCATAACGTTCACGCCAAGCCCTCATGTTGCTGATGCATATGCTTTCATCAACGGGATTGAAATCGTATCCATGCCCACCAATCTTTATTACACTGCAGGAGATGACCCAGGGCCGTATGATGTTAACCACGAGGTCTATCTTCCCCTTCAAAACAAAACTGCTTTAGAGATCATGTACCGAGTAAATGTGGGTGGGGGAGAGATCACACCGCCCAACGACAATGGCATGTTTCGAAGTTGGTTAAGGGATCCCGATTACTTGACGGATGCTCGACCAAGCGCTTTTCAATTTATTAATGACACTCTTCAACTTCAGTATAATATCCACACTCGCTATGCTGCACCTGACGTACTCTATCGAACTGCTAGGACCATGGGGCCCAATTCTACTGTAAATGAGAAATACAATATGACTTGGGAGTTTCCGGTCCACTCCGCTTTCACCTATCTTGTAAGGCTTCATTTCTGTCAGTTTATACCGATCATATTGCAAAAAGGCGATCTAGTCTTTAAAATATATATCGCTGATCAAACGGCAGAGCGTTACGCAGATATAATCTTGTGGGCTGATGGATATGGGGTTCCCATATACAAAGATTACGTAGTGATGATGGATGCCGGAGGAAACGAAGGGATACAGAATTTGTCAATTGCATTGCACCCTATTCAGTCTACTAATGCCTTGGATGCAATGTTGAATGGCGCTGAAATCTTCAAATTGAGCAAATCAGACAATCTTGCCGGACCAGATCCTGACGCGTATCCGGACAGCCCCATTAGTAATACTCCTCCTAGCGCGACCTCAACAAAGCCAAAGCATATCCGAAGAACAGTCGCCATTATTGGTGCTGCTGTTTCGGGCATTGTTGTCGTCACAGTTCTATTTCTCTTGATTTTCCGGAGAAGAGTCCAAAAATTCAAGGACTTGGTTTCTGGTGATGCAGCTTCAAACTTAAGCCCTCTTGTTTCCTCTTGAAGAAAGTCAACAAAGACCCACAGGTCATCTCTACCTTCTGACCTATGCTACCGTTTCTCGCTAGTTGAGATCATAGCAGCTACAAACAACTTCGACGATTCTTTCATTATTGGTGTTGGTGGCTTTGGTAACGTGTACAAAGGATTATTTGATGGTGGAGTCAATCGTGCTGCGATCAAGCGATTGAATCCAAGTTCACAGCAGGGTGCAACCGAGTTCAGGACAGAGATCGAGATGCTCTCCCAGCTTAGATTCCGCCATTTGGTTTCTCTAATTGGTTACTGTAATGAGAATAATGAGATGATCCTGGTGTATGATTATATGGCTCGGGGGACGCTTCGTGATCATCTCTACAGAACTGATAATCCCCCACTTTCATGGACTCAACGCCTAGAGATTTGCATCGGTGCTGCCCGTGGGTTGCATTACCTTCACACAGGTGCAAAGCACACTGTCATTCATCGTGATGTGAAGACAACAAATATCTTGCTGGATGAGAAATGGGAGG